CAATAAATTAGGAGCAATCGGAACTTAGGCAGACTAGAAAGCATGTATTAGATCCACATCTCCAAATAAAGTCTTGCACATAAATGAATTTTGAGTTGAATTAGATTAAGGAAAAAATATTCAGAATACATATAATTCATTCCAATCTATTAGGTTATAATATTAAATGAACATTACTTTCCTTTTAACAAATAATTAAAAAAAAAGAATTTTTTAAATTGGGACTTAATGAATCATAGTTTTGGTGTTGTTATTGCTGTTGCTTTTTTTCCCCTACCAATGGATGAAAGCTTATTTTTTCTTTCATAAACTCCTTGCTAACATAAGGCCTTTACATCAGACAATTTATTGTCACAGCCTAACATTTTCCTCTAATTTATATGCATTTTTATGAATGAGAGATTTGACTCAATTCTGCCCTGCATCACATTTACTTTGATTTTGATGCTGTTTGAAATGTGCATTGTCCGGGCTGCCTCTGGCTTTGCCTGTTGTATTAACACACTTCAAACAAGTAACAATAAACAACTCTTTCATAATCTTACAACATCATATGGGCAGTACAGATGAGCAAAAAGAAAATAATAATTTTAGTGCATTTATTTAAACGGGTAAACAAAAAATTATTGGCTACCAATAACCAAATGTAAATGTGAAGCAGAGTACACATTAATTCAATTCTAATATTTGTTTTGGGTTTAACTGAAATGTGACTGAATCCTGATCACACTAACCAACTGAACTACAATCGAGCAATTATACTGGTCTTAATTGAATCAGGGATTGATTTGGATGTGATTTTAGAGTGGTAATAAGATCCTCTGTAATTTCTTATACACTGCCAACAGGTCCAGCAACTTGTGGACAATATATATGGATATTTATCAATTTGTGTATATATACATGATTGCTAAAGGTGACGCAGCAGTGTTGTTCAAAAGGTGAGAAGTTAAAAAACTTAAATCCCAGCCAAGCCTTCTCAACGTACTGTAAACATGTAACAGCTTCAGTTTAATATAAAAAAAATGTATGTTGTAAATACCATTCAGTAGAACATCAGTTCTGACTTTATCTCATGTTACCATAATACCATAACAGCTTCTTCGTCACTGCCATCAGACAGCTGAACTGTTGATAAACCCTAAATTATGTCACAGACTCTGCATCACACTGATAACACCAAACCAAAATACTGCATATTTGCCCCATATATATTTAATGCTCTGAACTTCCATATCAGTGCGTTTTTGCACTATGTCTTTTCTCCCACACTGGTGTATTTGAATACAGCGGCACTTTATGGAATGGAAATATTTTGAAGGCTGTACAAAACAAAATTTCGTTTTGTTTGCACTCTGTGTATACAAAATAACAATAAAAGTTGCCTAAGACAAGTCCAAGTCTGGTTTTAATATACTTTGATATTAAGCTATTGATCATCTTTGTAAACTCGCCATTTAATGTGGTATGACAAGCTAACTGTGCAAAAGTTAGAGGTTTTATGGAATTAAATTGTTTGGAACAGTTAACAGAGGAATTATACTTACAGTGTCCATTTGACTAATTTTTTGGTATGGGCATCTTCTTTTTGAAGGTCCTGAAGGTGTGTAACTCATGCTGTGTTGGGCTGTGTTGCCTCAGAATGTGTTTCAGATCTACAAGCTAAACTTAATCTACATTTAAATATAATAAAATGTGATTGTAATTGTTTTCTGTCCTGTACTTACAGGGCCTGATGTTTAGATGATTTGTAGGTCATAAAACATATGCAAATGTGTTTGTACGCACAGAGGGGATCTTCAAAGAAGGTGCAAAGTGTTTAGAATTTCCAATGTAGCAGACAGCATGTGCAAAAAACGTTTTGTTTTTTTTCATGTGTGCTTTTGCACATGCAGGTCATATTCTAATGACAAAACTGCATAAATTCACGAGTGAGCATATTCACCATGTTGAACCATGTTCAAAGTGATTTTCCAAATCTCATCTCAACTCTTTCATCAGTTTATGCATCTTTCTGAGTACTTCTGAAAGTCAGGTGCAAACTCACTCCCAAAACTTCCTGCAGTCAATGTTGCCACAAAGGAGACATGGGGTTCAGGGGGACAACTGACTTGTGTTATGATGTTAAGTGTCTTCTTTTTCATTTCAGTTATTTTTGTTCTTGGCACTTAAAGATTTGTCTTTATATTTGGGCTGCAGTCTTTGTAAATGACCTGCAACACACTCAGTTATTTCCCATTTAAAAAATGCACTTATAATTTGTTGCCCCTTTTTCTGAATCTATGAAGATCAGGACCTCAGTCTCACAATAATAGTAAAATGTTTGTCAAGCTGGCAAATGATCTTGAATGATGATTCGAAGCAGATGCCAGCTCTCCTGACAGGCCTAAAAGTACTTGTCAAACATTATTGTTAATTGTTTAGTTTACAATACCACACAATGAGGGAACCACCCAATTTTTGAAAATAAGGCCTATAGCAAGCAGTTTTCCCTGCTAACTTATTTGCCAATTTGTCCCTTCAATACTTTTTAAAACATGTGGTAAACTCATATTTCCTTGTCATGAACACACACTCACTCGTCAATGATTACAGGGTATCATGATTACATGAGTACAATGCATTAACATATTAACACATAGCATCATACTCTTAATAGATCTGAAAATACTTCCAGATTATTACAGAGACTAATGTAAACTATTGGGATGGAAACTCCGTACAAATAAACAAGCCACATGGGAGCATCCCCATTGTTAGGGAAGGTCTCAGTGCAGCCTTTCAAGGTGGAGTAAGATTTCTAGAAGATTATCTGTGGACAACAGGCAGCCACTTGTTTCATTTAAATTCTTACAGGAGCAGATGCATGACCTGAATAATGCAGAGGTATATAGAATCTGGACATTGATGTGCCCTCCTGTCCTTGGACACAGGGATAGGAGTGCCCGCTTATAAAAAAAAAAAAAAAAAAAAAAAAAAACAGAAAGAGGGCATATTCTTTCCTCCTACTGATTCAGCTCGGACCATGCTCGAGCAATTCCATATATATGACCTTAGGTTGTAGCCTTGTTACTTCCCATCTGGAAAATGTAATTTCTCTGAGAAGACAAATCCTTTTGGGTCATTTATTTTTGCTGACATTATGGAAAGAGTCCTTGACCTTTATTCTGTAAAGGTCTTAAGCTACTCTCTTTACTTTTTTTTTTAGGGCTGTTCAATAGGTAAATGGTGCACACTTACCATCACTGACTTTCCCACTCAGGGGTCACAACTCTACACTAAGACAGCCCAAGAAGATGTTGAATTTTTATTTCAAGTTATGAGCCTGGCTACACTGCTACAGAACTGGTCATAAAAATCCCTAATACACAACTTATTGTAGTGCATTTAAGGAAAATATCCACAATGATTGTGGAATCAATCTGTAAAATCTCTTTCATAATAGCTAATTTCTTGAGTTGTTCTCCTGACACAATGTAAATCAGAGTACAAACTATATAACACCAGCCTATCTACTCTAGCTCAGTCTTGGGGATTTGATAGCATTCACGGATCATAGAAGGACATTCAATCCCTCCAGGGCAATTTTATTTTTCATTAAGCGCTCCTTTCAGTTGGACCTACCTTGAAAGGGCAACCATATCAGACCACCTCTTCTGCCTCTTCAGTGCAGGGAAGAGGGGCTATTCTTTGAGCTTCCCTGGATGTCAGAGCGCCTCACTGCATGTGTGAGGGTGAGAGGTCCTACTTTCTGAAGGAAGTTCATTTTGGTCATGATTAATATTTAATGCCCCCAGATGAATGTCAGGACTTCCATGGACCAGTGGATGGAGATTTCTATGATTTGGTTAAGTCTATTCTTTGCCTCAAAAATTTGAAGGAGCATCCGCATTACTGCAAACAAAGCCATAATCTCACCATTTCGAGTTCCATTCTATCATCAGCAGTGAACAAGACACAAAGGCACACACCAACCCAGATAAAGCACTCTGCATCTTGCCTATCCATAACCACGGCTTCAGACTCAGAGGAGCGGACTCTTGTCCAACCTGCTAGTTTCAGCGAATCTCTTTAGTTTAAGGTAATGGCTTGAAGGAGCCAACATAACCACATTATCTGCAAAAAGGGGATGGGATTTTAAGTTTATTACCCAAACACAACTGTGCCTAGAGATCTTTTCCTGGAGTTCTACAAAAACCAATATGGAAGTCCATTACACACTGCCATCAGGGTTGCTTGTGTGCCAAGAATGAGGCCAAAGCTCTTGTTTTGGATGTAAAATAGTCTGGATAGCTCTTAGAAGCCACCAACATACTTCACAAGCACCTTTTTCACAAAATAAATTAATGGCCAGAATCATAGGCTCCTTCCAAACCTACAAAACACATACAGAATGGCTGAAGAAATATACTATATATTTTTTCATAAATAATTCCCAAAGGTAGAAATCTGGATCATTGTTTAACGGCCAGGATAAAAATCACATTGCTCCTCCAGGATTTGAGGTCTGACCGTCAGTCACAGCCTGAGACTGAAACTGTTAAGTTTCCTCTATAATTTGAAAACATTATCTGGTTCCCCTTTGTTGTTATTGTTAATATAAAAATATATGTTTACTTGCTTATTTTTGAATCTTATGAAAAGTGTTTTTATATAGCTTTTTCCTCAGGATGAACATTGTGTCACCCCTAAAGATAAATGTTAACCTTTTGAAATCTGCTTTGTGCAGCTCAGTGATGCTGTGTTTCACAGAGGATGTTGGATAATACTTTATATTGACTGACAAACTGATGACTACCCAGCAACAAGCAAACTCATTAAACAGTGGATATTAGGATCAACAGGATAACTGCAGAGTCTTGTGTGAATCAATAGCTATAGAGGTCATGATGGTGTAAGATTGTGGTTTTAAAGATGTGTGCGTGTGTATGTGTGAATATCATCCAAAAAGGCATTTCCTAACTCATCAATATCTTCTCACCTCTCTGTTTTCCACCTAGATGGTTTATAAGTCCTGGCTGTGTTCTCAGTACTTCCAGACCACCCAGATACACTGCACCAATCGAATCCCCTGTGGCCAGTACTGCCTGGAGGTTCAACAGCGCTGCCCCTTTGTCCTCCCTGACAATGATGATCTCATTCATGGAGGCAGCCCAAGTTTTGTATGTACAGGTAAAATTCAGTAATCACTTCCCTTATTTCATTGTCCCCTACGACTTGCATTTTCTAAATTTAACTGGAACATACATCTACAGTCTTTACTCATGTCTTGGTCCTGCTTTTTTATGGAACACAGTCTGCTACACTACTAGCCCAATGTTAGCTGAAATTAAAAGACTTATCAAAAAACAAGTCTTGAACAGTTTCACTAAATTGTGTGTAGTTACATTTTATGAAAGAAAAATATTTTTTTCAGCCTATGCACTATCCTTTGTGAAAACAGTGAAATTAACATCCGAGGGAACATGTGACGATACAATCACACAGAAAGCAGCTAAACCTGCACTGTCAATATTACTGTAAGTTACATTGTTAGGAGAGAAAAGCTTAGATCCGAAGAAAAAAAGTCAAAGAATCAATCAACTACGAAGTTATCTGATAAAACTGTTTTTGCTGGACATCAGAAAATTGAAGTACTTTGTGAAAAAAAACAATCGCGCAAAACAAGGTTGTGTTTTATCAGGAACTTTGCCCATAGATTCTGAGTATTACAGTACCAACAACAGGTAATTAACCAAAGGGCCCTGTCACACCTTGCCATTTTAGACAGCATATGCTCGACGTCCAAGAATCTCCTAAAATGCTGGCACACCCTGAACTTTCTATGTATTTTTTTAAGTTTGGGAATATACATAGTGTATTTATAACGATTTCACAGCGTAGGTCCAAAGATCGCCTAAGTTATGCATAAAGCACGGTAGTGTAATGTCCATAAAATGATGCACAACTATAATTTTTTAGGGCATTACAAGGCATCAGTGAAAGCTGCTCCCCTCAGGCGCATCGGGAGCATCAGGAGCAGCAGGGATATATAAAATGAAAATAAAATAAAATGTCTTTGATCGCAGTATTAACCTGACTGCTCTTTTACGCCCTCAAAAAAAAAAAAAAAAAGAATAAAGAAAAAGAGACAAGGTTTGCAGTCGCAGCTGATTCAGCATCGTGTCTGCTAGGAAGTTTGTAGGCGATTGGCGTGAACGAAGGGAGGATCCATCACACTCACCTTCACGCTCATCCTATGATGGGGTTGAAGTCTGGAGGAGTACAGACGGTTTCCTCCTGTGAACCCCCTTTTATACCAAAATGCTGCCAATACGCCATTATATAGTAGCTGTTGGAGATAAGTTCTTTATAAGTTATGCATAAGTTTTGCACAAGTTACTCATAGGTTTTGGATAAGCTAGACACCCCGACTTATGAGTATCTTACACTTAAAGTATGTCAACGATCAGATAACTTACCTATAACTTATGCCCCACGCATATGCGGGAAATTTTGAGAATGCTCAAAATTACTGTATGTATTTCACGTATTTCAGCGTGCTCATAACTGATACAGAACGTACCCATAACTTATCCAACGCATGCTAGTGTTGGATAAGCCAGATCTTTCGTACGTCAGGCATACGCAGGCGCGCTGGAAGCTGTTTCAAGCGAGGGGGGCTGATGGCTGGGTTGGAAAACACATGACGTCATTATGTTGAGGGCTGTGGCTGACGTTTTTAACATAATATTGTAGGCCTACATTTGTTGCCAAAAACTGCCATTTAAAATGCATCGGAACAAAGCATGAACATTTTAAACTTTATTTCTTCTCTTTTGATCATTCAAAACATACAACAGCTCCCAATCAAAAGGATCAGGAATACTTGAATGAAACATGGCTTAAATATCGCCTAAACTGATCATTGATATGCAGCCTTATTCTTGCGTAGACTTCTTCAGCCACAGGACTACGACGAATAGGCACAGCATATAGAAATAAATAAGAAATAAATAACGCTAAATAAATGCTCGGCGGCAGTATAGGGGAATTAAAACCATTTCTTACCTCGAAATAGTCAGAAATACGTTTCTGCTGCCTATTGCTAGCCATGCCTAAACGAATGTGAGGTGGCGGAAGCTTCCGGGGGAGTAGCCTAGTTTTTTATGAAATATTAAAATAATGAATCATTAGTTTATATCTTATACACAGCCCATCGTTTTAATCCCATATCAAACACAGTCTTTTAAAAACTAAATACATAAATAATTTCATGTTTGTAAGTACAATATTATGTTACTCCACAGCCCCCCACCATGGGGGGCTGATGCTATGACGAGGGAGGCTGCAGCCCCCGCAGCACCCCCCTTCCCGTGCCACTGGGCATACGCTGTCTAAATCGGCAAGGTGTGACAGGGGCTAAAAAAAATTGTAAAGAATTCCGGCATCCAGACCCTGAGCAGATCACTGGTGTTAGAATTAAACACCCCTGCTTTAAGAAATGAACGATTGACAAGAATTGCCAGTTTTATCATTACACCACCAGTTAATGGGTAGTTGTCCCTAAAAATCCAGGAGCTTATGAATCACAGCCAACACACATAAACCCACCAAAGCTTGCTTTACTATCAATACTAAGACTTTACATTGAATTAAATTCATTTTACCTATTGGATTTGTGCCTAACTCTGACATTTACCCTAACCATTACCAGTATATTCCTAACCCTAATCTTACCCCAAAGTGAAGTCACAGATTGCCTCTAAATTTACTCCTTGTCTTAGAAACCTGAGGGTCCACCAAGTCCTCCAATAACCAGCCTTTTGTCCCCATAAGGTCCTCAGGAAGTCAATGAATGTATCAAAAACAGTATTGAATAGGTTACACAGACAGCTCACATGCCTTGCTCTAAGGGCCAATATAAGTTCAGGACTATGTAGCAACATTAGTGGGACACCCATTCCTTGATAAAGTTTGCAGTTACAGGATGTCATTCTATGGCTAATGCTTACAATATCCGATACAATGAAAACAATCAACTTTGTGTTCTCTAAAGCATTAAAGTACATAAAAAACAGTGATGCAGGTAAAAAAAAAAAAGAAATGCATAAAAAAACATATTAGTTTGGATTTATCACTTTAATTTCTATATGTACTTAACTTTTATCCAGATAACATGAATATGTTACATTTTATATGCTGCATATCATGTTGAAAACAAAATTCATATAAAAAAATAAATAATACCTGCTGTGTTGAAACAAGGGATCGAGAATATGGAATCTGCAACAGAAAGTGCAGTGAATGGAAGCAGGGTTTCTTGTGTAGTAACAATGGAGAAAAATTAATAAGAAAAGATTTCCATTTTAAACATCTCATACACAGAAATCCATTCTAAATGCAGTCCATACTACTGTATATCTATGGTCATGTAAATGTATGACCCTCTTTTAAACTGTATTGGCATTGTAAGCTCGTAATTCATAGTATATGCTTCCCCCTGGTGGTCAAATAGAACAGCATATTTTAAGGTGAAGTTTTTTTGATCTATTTCTTTATCCTAATTTTGCTAAAAGACATTATTTTAAGTATATATGTAGATGATTCTGGGATTTTGAGCTGGTGTGTATACTTTATGTTCTGTATAGACTTTAGAAAATGCACACAATTCTTTTTTTGAAAAAAAAAAAAAAATTATATATATATATATATATATATATATATATATATATATATATATATATATATATATATATATATATATATATATATATATATATATATATATATATATATATATGTATATATATGTATGTAGAAAATATATATTTTATTTGTATCTGTCCCAAAACAGAACACGTGTAGTTTATTAATTAGTTCTGGTTTAACATGCTTCCCTTTTACAAGCAAAAATTAAAAATCTTGGCATTAGTTGCTACATGAGGATGGATTTAAAAAAACACAACAGAAAGCATCTTAAGGGAATCGGCAAGACATTGACATGCAAATTAAAGTATAATCTTTTCCAGGACTGTGTGTATGCCAGATTGTATTGAAATGGAATTATGTACATAAAGGGCATTATATTTCAAAAATCCCTACAGGGAGTGCAAAATTGTGTGGTTAAAAAAAAATGGGTTTGCTACAGGTAATTATCAAAGAATGCGTTGGCAATTGATAAGATATGCAAAGTGGTAACAGTCCACCTTATTTTAATGAGAACCATCCATCCATCCATCCATCCATCCATCCATCCATCCATCCATCCATCGCTTATCGCCATTCATCTTATTAGTTATTAATAACAATCTTGTTTTTGATCCAAAAGTGGGAGTTTTGATATAGACACAAACAATGATGTTAGATGGGAATATGAAATCACAACCATCATTTATATACTTAAAATAAATAGTAAATTGAACTGAATCAGAATTGTAGTAGGAAAGACTTTGTGGTATCTAGAAAGATTATATTGTGATCCATGCAAATCAATACAATACTGTACCATGATAGAACTTTTACACCTGATTTACACCAACACTATACAGTAGTGTTTACCTTTGATAACTCCTGACAACATATATTAGAATAACACATTGCAACCTGAGGTAGGCCCAGAAATTATGCTTAACACAGAGCCCATAAATGAACAGTGAGAAAGAAAACAAAGTCCATCTTACCAACAGGGACTTTGCACAGGAAGATCAGCTTTGTATATGCAAAACAGTGAGATATTTAATTTGTAAAAAAAAAACTAAAAAACTAGTTAGAACCCAGAAAACCCTCCCAATGCTAAGCTTCTTTACATTATTCATATTAGGAAAGCATTTTTAGAATAGCCACAACAAACAAACAAAATTTGTCAATATCTTTATTTGCTGTGGTAAAGGTACTGATAGGAAGACCCTGTTGTATGACAATATACTTTTTTAAATTCTAATATATTTCCCATACCAACCCTTCATCTTTAAATATCTGCAGGATTGCTGGAGGACTACCCATCAGGTGTTGACCCAAATGCAGAGTGTTGCGACGTACGGTGGGATACAAAAGTGGACAACCGTTCCAGAGGGACCCTCAAAAGAACTCATCCGCCATGCCAGCATCGTACCTCCCTTAGCTCTTCAGCAGCCTGCAGACTGTGTAACAGCCGGCTTAAACTCTGCCTGCTGGTCCTTGTCCTCCTACACACTGTTGCCAGCCTCACTGCATCACACAATGCAACAGGAATGGGTCTCCCCACCTTCACGCCTCTGGAGGAGAGTCCCGCCAATGAGGAGTGATGAAGCAGCCGAGTGGATGTGAGGTTGGAAAGGTGGGGAGGAATTTCCTCACCATGGCAACCAGCTTGAAAAATACAGTGATGGTGGGTGCGTACGGCTGGAGCTGTGTGCCTGTAGACATACTGCAACACTTTATGACAAACAAAAACATATGGGAATGCTTTGAAATGAGTTACGCTTCAATCAATCAAAACAAAGAAGTGATGTAATAAACAGACTCCCATACACTAAGGGATTCAAGTGATCCCTTAGATAGGAAAAGGGACAATGCCACAACCTTTGTTCCTTGTGGCTGAGTTTCTCTAACAAAGCTTTTTTACACTGCGTTCTGATTATTGGTTTCTGTTGCTATGGCTGACTATAGAATAACACAATCATCTTATTTTCTTTATTTCTCCTTTACTGGTTCCCTCATTCAGGGACAAATATGTTCCTCTAAGACAGAAAATGGGATAAATACTTAGCAGCAGGTTTGTGTGTGTTTGTGTGTGTGTGACAGAGAGATGGAATGTGTGCATGTTGCTATGCCAAAAAGCTTATTTAAAATGCTGATTTCATGGAGAGCCCTGCAGAATTTCTCTGCACCACTGTGGGAGGTGGAGCATATTTCTGTTTGAAGATCATTGGGTTTGATGGGGTTCTGAGTTCCATTTAAAACGATTTGACAGCAGCTCATAGGTATTTTTAATTTGATTTGAGAGATAATCAAAAAATAACAGAATAGTATCGAAATACATTTCGTGATTTAATTAAAGTAAATACTTGGGCTCAGGAAATTTTTTAATATTTTCTACATTTTTTTCCTTAACCAACCATTTTTTTTCCTATTGCGATTTAATAAAATGCAACAGAATCAAGTTTGATTGGGAAAACCTTACTTAGACTATGCTATAATTCTTTTTTCTAAACCTAAATTTGAGAAAGAATAATTTGATTTTACTAGTAGTGAAATCCCAAAACCTTACTATGTGATTATTCCGTAAAAAAAAAGCTTTACAACAAAAAAAAAATTCATACAATTGTATTTTTTATTTTCAACATGTAGTAAAGGTGGAAAACAACACTTTGTTAAAAAGAAAATAGATAAACAAAAAAACCACCCAGTCCTCTAAACACTGGAGATCCAGCAACAACTAATTAAAGTAAGATCCGGCTTTGTTAGTCATTCAATCAATCCTAAAACCCAGAACCAGTGTGGGTACGTCTGGATGATTAAATACAACCTTTTTTGTCATTTTAGCCCAGGAACAAGTTTTCTACTGATATATGCATGTCCAGTAAACCGGGAGTTAGAAGCACTATGTGTTATGGAGATAATTTCTTCCATTTTTATTTGGTGTGGGTGGGGATGTTAACATTTGTGCTTTAAATAGCCTGGCACACAAAATACAGGAAATTAACACATTTCAGATTTGAACCCCTATATCTTATTTAAAGACAAAAATGACCCAATATAATCTTCACCATATTACAGATGACTCAAACTGTAACTTCTATTAATATTGGCTGAATTCTGCTTTCTGTCATGCTCTGTAGCCTTTTTAATCTCGCATACAAATAGACAATTTTAGTTTATCTCAGTGCAATTGCATGCAGAGGCTCTTCAAGGTGATGCTACCTTACTCTCAGAACCACATTTAATCCCAAAACATAACCTGTAGCATTCAATATGTTTGCATTTCATTACTTAAAGCATTACAAATTCCATTATGTAAAGGGCTTATTACTACTTAACATAACAAACATTTTCATCCATAGTGAGAACAGTTTCAAGACAGTTTTTTCTTTTCTTACAGAGAAATTCATTGAACTTAAAAGCAAAGGGCCTTTTTTTGTTACTGTAATTGGAAATGAAGCGCAGAAACAAACAGAAAAATTAGCATGTCACTGTTTGTGCACTCAAAGTCAACTGAGTTTACTTATATATTAATCAAGGGTTTTGTGATATAAGAAAGACATGATATGACTTTAAGGGCTGACTTGTTTCCCTAGTTTTGTTTATTTTATTTTTTACTTTGATTTGGATGGTTGCAAGGTATCAGGTATTTGCTAAAAGCAAGGATATGTGGTCGAATACATTTTTACATTCTAGTGTGTTAATTATCAACATGAGATGTTCCATACAGAATCTGATGTCGTCAGTTTATAGAACAGTTATATGGAGCTTTTAATTCCACCTATCGTGGTGTATTTATTGACTAAATCAACTTTGCATTTGCTGCTCAGACCTTGTGCCATAAAACTCATCACTATACTTGTTTGCACAGAAAGCTCCTCATGTATCCATTCTGGTTTAAGTTGTCTACATTCAGTGTCAAAAAGGCTGCTATACCGGAGTCCACCACTTGATGGAGAGATATTCATTCTTTCATGTTATCGCTGCTGCTGGAGGTCCATACTTGAGCATTAGAACTGTTAGATACAGCAATCAAATATAGTTTAGTTCTGAGAGAAAATTATTTTCTATTACCCATCAGTGTGTGGGCAGAAGGGTGCTTCTGGTGTTGCTGTGTGTGTACTTCCAAATACTTCTTTTATATTAATATTTTTTTTTACTTTTACATTTATACATTATGATTTTTTCATTCTGAGCTGATTACAAAACATCATGGCATGGGCATACGGGATGGTTACACTTACAGGTGCTGTCTTCAGACTCCAGAGATCTACAGTATTACTCTGTATTGCACCGCAGCCCTACACCTGCATTAGGTGATCCTATTTGACATTATTGTTTATTGTATTGTTACACAGAACACAAAAATATTCTTCCTTCACTTTCCTCTGCCAAGTCTGAAAAAAAATAGCAAATCTTTCCGAAATTAACTTGAAATGTAACATCTAAATGTTAAGTTGAAAAGTGGATTTAAAACAACATTAACATATCCGTACATCCAGATTGGTAACATAGTGGGTGGAAAAAATGGCTCAACCTGAACACCACTCATTCAAAAACCTCCATGTTTGCAAATGAGTTTACTTTGAAATTTAATGAGCATGCTTTTATTTCAACAAAGTTCAAAACATTGACATAGAAGACATGTTTTCATTGTGCATCTTCACTACGGTTGCATGGGGATGAATGTTGTGTACCAGTTGCCATTTAACCCAACTCATTCAGACATTTACAGGAAGGATTCACATGTTTACATGAATTAATTAGATCAATATTTGGTCATGTTTGCAGTGCATACAACAATTATACCTTAATCTTAATGCTTAATTATGTCAAAATAGTTCGGCATTACACAGTGTAGAAAACATTGTAGGCTCATATTGAATCAGTCTTCATTCCTTGAAATGGTCTGTAGCAGCTGTAGGTTAGACTCAGTCAACTTTTGTAACATGTTAATATTTGTGCTTTCTTCCTGCACAAATTGGCCATTAATGCCTGTTGCTCTCATTTAATCATTAGTTTTCTCTGTCTGTTCAAAAGTTATTTTCTCTACCCCTGGATCTATGCAGAAGCTCATTTTTTGTTGTTGTTGTAAATATGTTCCTTGGTATGCTGATCAATGTATGTTTCTCCTTTTCTTATTTAATGTCACACTGTTTCTTCCCTCTTTTATGTCTTTTATTTGATTTGAATGTCTGAAATCACTGATGTCTCAAGACAGTGTGGCACAGTTAGACCAACAGATTTTGCCCTTAGCATCACAGCCTTTTTGTAAAAGGCTGCAGATGTATGTGTGTATGTGAATGCAAAAGGTTTATTATACTACAAATGAAAAAGGTTTAAAGGAATATAGAAGTACCATTACGATTACTATTATTATTACTATTATACTACTAGTATATTGTAATATTATAGATGCTTTAGTTCAAGTAACTTATTTAATTTTTTTACAAAGAACTTTGAGATGAAATGATTTATAAAAGAGTATCACAGGTAATGTTTTTTGAAGAGTATGAAAACTACAGCTACAATTATTGAAAAATGTGTTCAAATAAAAATAAATACTAATATAATGATTCTGTGTACCTTTGTTGTACTTATGGATTAGGTGCTTTAATAGTAAAAGGAATAGAAGTGTTCATAGTGTTATAAAAAAAATGAGAATACATTTTTATAGACTCTTATAAAGTAAATAAAAAGACTGAGTTGAAGGGGTTTTTAATCCAGCTTTTGTTTCTGAAGTAATGATAAAATTTCAAACTTTCACTATTACCCAGTTTCGGTTATGACTTTAGTCTGATGATTATACATTCACCAAAAAAATGTATTTTGCATTTTCCAGTTTCATAAGACATCTAATAAAGCAACTTTTACATGTTAAACATTTTATGCATTGCTTAAAGCTACAGTGTGTAATAATTACAGGGATATACAGTCAGAAATGTAATATATTATACATAACTATGTTATTTATCATCATCTACGAGCTCAGCCTCTTAACCTTAATATTTGCGTTGCCTTAGAATTTGTTATTTATAATTACATAGGAGCGGGTCTCGCAGCCATGGAGGCAGACATCTTTGTGCTACGGCAGCGCAGAGCCAACAAACTAGCGATTGCGAGATCGCCCATTACAATAACATGCTGCGTGATGATGCTGTTACTCTCCAGTATACTTATTCAGCAACGTCCCTGACGTTTCACAGGTAATGATTCAGTAATTTTCTGTAAAATAATTTTCTGGATATATACCTCGGTTACTTCTCTCCGGCTCCTTTGGAGATCTTCAAGCCTTTCCTCCTCTGCTCTAGTCACCCCGCTGGCACCTCTCCCTCGCCTGGCCCTGGCTGCACGCCCACCCCGGCCTCTCTGCCCTCTTCCTCGCCCTCTTCCTCTCCCTCTTCCTCGCCTTGTAACCCCCGTGCCACAAACAAGACTTGGACTCTGTAAACGGGGAATATATATTCTTCCAGCGAACACAATCTCGCTGTTAAACTAATGACTACAATTACTTCGTCTGTTTATATCACCATGCAAAGCAGCTCACCAAAACGTCACAACGATGTAGAAAAAATAACGGGTATATTTATTATCTTAACTCTACATGAAATCTATACCCTACACAGACTAATGAAATACTATCTGTAAAATTATCTATGTAAACAAACCTCATCACTTGAGAAGGTAGGTGATGCGGACGTCGTGGAAGACATTTTGTCCCGTAACGCTCGCCGTACTGTTGAGGGGGAGAAGCGGTGGGGGTGGGGGTGGGTATGGGGGGTGGGGGTGATGGGGGGGGGTGGGGTGCTGCGTTCATGTTGCTGAGGTCTGCAGTCTGGACGTTAGATGTCGCTGAAAATTACACACTGTAGCTTTAAAGTATATTGAAACCAGTCCAATGTCTTTTACTCACTTTGTAATGGTAGAACCAACACTTCATATATTTTAATGTACGAATGTAAAGGAAAACTATTTGTGATAAAATATTCTGTGAGATGTCAATTTTCAGGAGAAAAGTGATACTAGGAAAATTGGCAGTCAAATCGTTGTTTTTGCAGGTTCTAAAAGTATTCTTGTTTGATTATGACTATTATTGATAATTATAATTAGAAATTCTAATGAACATTTTATCCTTTTATAGAATTAATCCTTAATTAATGACCACTAGCTTGTAATGATAATAAATAACAATTTAGTTGATTGATTTACCATTGTAATCAGCTTAAAAGTAAATGTGGATATTTAAACTAGTTAAAGAAATGGCTTTAACCAACCCCTGAATGTCGATAAATTTAGTTTAAAAATTGCATTCACAAGAAATATCTCTATTTAATCAAGCTGTTAATTCAAAACAGCATCCACTGTAGGTTTAGAGGAATGGGACAAGGGGGAAGTTGGGTCCTCACTGCGATTCTTCGTTCATCCATGGCAGACAGTGTGTTTCTCGGCTTAAGTTCCTGGACACAAAGTCTCAGCTTGATTGACGCTCAAAGAATGCAAGGCAGCAGTACAGTGTCTGCAACAGTAGAAAAAAGCAGGCAGTGTGGTCATATTTCTTAGCCAAAATAATCAGGCATTCCACAGCTCAGCTGACTTTCAGAAGGGAAGAATTTTTTCATTCTGAATTATCTCAGGACTTCTCTGCTTTGGACAAAGCTGAGGCAGGTTTGTTTCTATCGGTATGGCTTGATCAGGAGATAATCAGGAAACTGATGATGATTATTCCCTGCAAGCTCTAAGATTACCAAGCTACTTTTTCAAAGGAATCATGAGGAATTGATCGGAGGAGGCTTTGACCAGCAAAGAACAGGACAACAAGGTTCAATGCACAATTTGAAAAATGAGGCACTTAGCTATGGTCATCAAGTTTTAGTTTGATGGAGTCACTCCTTCTGAATGAGCACAATGTGATAGTAGACATCCGTTTGCATTGTTTCATTGACTCATACCCAGCTATCTCTTATACCAAGCTTGCATGCAGCAGTAGTGGAGAGGAACAACTCCCTTTTAAGTGGAAGAAACCTCCAGTAGAACCAAGTTAAGTGTGAGCAGGCCTTCTGCAAGACTGAATGGCAGTTCAATGAAACAGAAGCAGACCCACAAAAAGAACATTAAGCCATAAGCTTTAAATAATTTCTGTGATAAATCATCAGCAGAAAAATTGAATTAATGCCATTCTGTCTGAATATTCTATCTATAGAAGGTATATCGTGATGAAAGTTGTCTCTAGCAGTGTTCCCCGGGGCACTCCACTGGTAATTAACATGAAAAAACAACACTAACAAATAGGATTTAAACCTCTCTGGTGCTGTTCCCTTAATTCCTACAGCACAATGGATCAATTCTTAAGAATATATAGGGATCATTATCTGAGGCTATGAGAATATCAGTCGTGACTTTAACCAATGCTGTTTCAGTGCGATGATGGGCTCTCATCCAGAAATGAAACTATTCAAAATGCTAATTAAGGTGTAGGTGCTTACACACTTGATTTGCAACCAATACTGATATTATATGGGAACAAAAGATTACCGTAGGTGCAAGTCTTTAATTGATCACATAATTTGAATCGAGAGAAGGTTTTTAAGCTTTAATTTCAAACCTTCGTTACATATCCATGTACTAGGGATAGATTAATCATATCTTTATTGGGATGGAAATCAGAAGAGGTACTTCCTTAAATAATTTGGTTGGAACTGTATAAAACATACAAGGTGAAGACTGAGATACAGCTAACAAATTTCACTTAGAGAGCTTTTTTTAAATAAGCTGCCAGACAGGAACAGTGTGAGAGGTACAGGGAACACATATGGCAAAGGTCAATGTACTGAGACTTTAACCTGCAACAACCACATAAAGACTAAGGGGGTGGGTGACCTCAGGTTCCAGCTCTCAAAAACCCACAACGGAGTGATAGAGTTCATTCTTTCCCATTATCATCTCAATTCTTATCGCTATGAAATGGCACAAAACATATCGCCTGGTCACCCACGCCAACAATGCCCCTTACGACTCCCCTTTCAGAGGCATAGTCCAGTATCGGGTATTGGAGGCCAACAACAACATCAATAACTCCCCATTACTAAGGGGTGGACCCATTCTTTCAGTTCAATTTGTAGGTTTTCTAAGCGATAACAACGCTTTGTTGGGCTACTCTATAAAGCTTCAACTCAATACTAATCCAGAACATTTTGAACTTCCTGGATGGGAAGCAAAACGTCTTCAAACTTGGAAAACAAAGTCCAGTAGTTTGTTTTTTAACTTATTTAACTCTTTTGGAATGACCATGAACTGGATGACTGAGAATATTCACCAGCATAAAGACCAAGGTTATACACTTTACCGCTTCACCAATACTGCGCCCTAGTTCTGTTCAAATCTTCATCAGTATATCATGCATAAAGGAGAAGGAAAGAACCAATATAACATAAAACCTTAGGCTCCAAATTTGTATAGATTGCTAAGAAAACTCATACTTAATGTACCATTCTGTCATCTCAGCAAATACAGCTCTTCTTGAGAAAGCTTTAAGCTCGCTTTTTACTCAACCAATTTTCCTTTGCAAAAACTACTTGTTGACCTGAAGATACAGAGACTGCTCTTGTTTTACAAACAGCTATTTTATACAGTAGCAGACAGTTTTCCAGAATAAATAGGATTTCTTTAGGTGTGTAGAGCACCCTTTTTTCTCCACTTTCCCAGCATTATGATTCTTTAAGTACGCAGCTCTATACTGGGATACTAAGTTCAGACCAAAGGAGGAAAGGTCCAAAGTTAGCACACAGCCTCAGATAATACGGCTAGAAACCACTCCCCCCCCCCCTTTTTTTTTTCATTTGAAGGCAGTTACTACTGTAACTCAGCGTTTTGTCACCTGAAGAACATCTCCAGGATTAAAGGACTAATGTCCAAGGAGGATCTAGAGAAACTCATTCATGTATTTATCTTTAGTAGAATTGATTACTGCACAAGTGTCTTCTTAGGTTTGCCTAGCAAGTCAAATCAGACAACTGCAGCTGATCAGAAACACTACTGCCCGTGTTCTCACTAGCACAAAGAAAGAAGAACTCATCAGCCAGGTTCTGAAGACATTACAATGACTGTCTGTAGCTAAGAGGATAGACTTAAAAATCCTTCCGTTAGTCTATAAGTCACTGAATAGATCAGTACATAAATACATAACAGCTGTTTGTCAACACCTTCAACCTACCATACCACTCAGGTCTTCTAGTTAGCCTATTCTGTGCATCCAGAACTAGAACTAACGATAGAGCAGCATTTAGTTCCTATGCTCCACTTACCTGGTACAAACTTCCAGAAGAATGTAAAAGTGCTGAGAGCCTGAATTCTTTTAAGACAGACTAATTTGTATAAAAACTACCTTTAATTGTAAAAGTTTAACTGTTTATTGAGGTATTATTTGTTTACGTTTGTCGTCCAACAGTCCATCTTGCTTTTATCTTTATTTGCTTCTATTCTGCTTTCACTCCCCTTCTATTTAACTTTTTAATTTGTGCAAATCATTTTTAATTCCCTGTGCATTGAATTGAGCTAAACAAATA